GCAGAGCAGAGATGCCCACTGGGTCTCCCTCGGGGTGGCTCAGGCGCTTGAATCTCCAGCCTTTCAGTCAGCAGCCCAGTGCCGGTCCACTGTGCGCCAAGGCCCACCCCTGAGACGGCCTTCTTTCAGCCAGCGCGTCCTCGAAGTCCTCGCTTGCCATAGTGGGGATGTCACCACGGGGCTGGGACTCTGGGTCTCTCTTCACTCCTCACAGGCCATGACGGCCCCTCCCCCTATTTACCCATGAGGAAACTGAGGCACGCGGAGACAGCACCCCAGGGTCGGAGAGCTAAGCTATGAAGGCAAACTTCCAACTTGGGTCGCAGGGCCCAGAAGGTGTGGTGCCAGCTCCCAGGCCTCTGGGGGGCACCCATGGGAGGTACGCTGTTGGGGTGGGTGGAGGAGGTGGGGGGCAGGGATGAGGGGATCCGGACCACCCTGCCCCGGTGCTCGAGTTGCGTCCTCTCATTCCCAACCTTGGGAAATGCTTTTCCTCTGGACGCTGTCTCCCCACACCTAGAGCCGTGCCCTCCCTCGCCCTGGGTCACCTCCCAGTGACACAGCAGAGGCCCAGGCAAGACCACACCCATCTTGTCACCCAGCAGTTGAGGAGATGCTGGGAGAGGGGCAGGGGCAGGGCAAGGGGAGCCGCCGTGAGGGAGCATGCTGACGCCTGCTCACGTCATGACGACACTGTCACTCACACACCCAGCTCGCAGTGTAGCTTTCCCCAGTGTCTCAGCAGAACAGGAAGGGGGGAAGCCCCTCAGGGTCCTGCCCGCAGAGGGGCAGTGTCTTCCCTGGACCCTGCCCACACGGTGGTCTCCTGAGCCCAGTGGGGGACGCGAGAGAGTTTCTGAACACGCCACTCAAAGCGTCCCTCCCGGGGGCCTCACTGACCACAGCCACCAATGAGAGGCCTTAAAAGGTGGTGAGTTTAAGGTCCTGGGGAAAAGCAGCTCAGACAGTCGGGGCGGGGCAGGGCAGCCATCCCCGGGGGCACTGGACAGCAGTGAGAAACAGGTGAGCCGGCCTGTGTGGTGGGGCTGTGCCTGCCCCCGACAACAACAATAATAATAAATGACACTTCAGGAACAGACAGCACCCTGGACGGTACACGTGATTCATCACAAGCCCAAGCATGGTGTTGATTCGAAGACCTGTCGTGTCTGCACAGGACCCAGCCTGGTGGCCTGCTGGGTCCGGGAAGATCGAGAGGGCACTGGGGAGGGACAAGTCGGGAAAGGAGGGCGGCTGCACAACTCCAGGCCGGGGCCCGTGTCCCGGAGCTGTCTGCGTGTGGAGGCTGCACCAGTGCCTGTCCTGAGCAGCAGCAACAACCCAAATGGAAGGAGGCCCCGAGCAGGGCCGTGTGTCTCAGGGCAGGAAGCAGTGCGCCCGCGGACAAACCTTTGGTGGTGAGGACTTTGGAGGTGACCTCCAGCGTCTCCAGAGGCTGCATGCCAATGTTCTCCAGCTTGATGGCCAGCCGCTGCGTCTCCCCGTTGTACAGCTGGACGGTCACGTTCGTAGAGGTTTCGTCGCCGCCGCAGGCAGGCTGCAGCGAGTGTGCAGATCTGGAACGAGGGAGGGTGAGACTTAACTGTTTAAGAAAGAAAGCCCAAAAGAGCAACAAAACAGTGAGAGAGAGAGAGAGGGCACCCGATCACAAGGAACAACATATAACTGCCCCGCCCAGGAGGACAAACAACAGAAAAGTGGGTGAAGGGCGACAGAAGACTATGTAAGAAATGAAAATAATAATCTATAATTTATTAAGGACTCATGAGGGAGGGAGGGCCGGGAAGGCGGGGGAGCGGGGGAATGAGGAGCTGATATCAAGGACTCAAGTAGAAAGAAAATGCTTTGAAAATGATGATGGCATCATATGTACAAATGTGCTTGACACAATGGGTGATTGTATGGATTGTGATAAGAGATGTAGGAGGCCCCGATAAAAGTATTTAATTTTCTTTTTAAATCTGTCTTTGGATAGATAGCTCTATCTATCTATCTATATCTAAAGGAAAGTGTGAGAAACAGAGAGAGAGAGAGGGAGATAAGACAGAGAGGCAGACAAAAGGGCAGAGTGAGAAAGAAAATTCATTGAGGTGCCTGGTGTTGTTGTGTGTTACAAGTTACAGTGCAAACCACCAGGTCTGCAGTTCGAAACCACCTGCAACTTCTCAGGGAAAATATATGGCTTTCTTCTCTGGTAAACAGTTAGCATGCAGCCAGCACAAGGGGGGCATTCGCCCTTTCCTGTGTGTTGCTCTGAGTTAGCATGGGCTCGATGGGAGTGAGTGAGCGATCACAGCCTCAGAAACCCCCGGGGTAGCTCTCATCTGTCCTACAGGGTCACTGGGGGTCGGAATCACCTGGGCGATAGTAAGTTTTGGTTTCGGTTAACTATTTACTATCATTACAAACAAGATTATTGTTATCACATTGGATATTGGCCTCTGGCCAAATAATTTTCAACAGGAGTCGTTATAAATCTAAGCATGTATTTGTTATAACCATCAATGCTATTCAGAAATCAGAGTCTTCCTTCCACAGTTACACTTCTCTAAATCTTTGAAGTTAAGTGACACCAACTGACGTGCTCTAGCCATTGCAATGAGGGCGAGATACGGACGCCACGCGCAGAAGCATCAAAAGCCAATGTCTACTTTTCCATGCCCTCATCCGACTGCAAAATTAGGAGAGTTGGGCAGGTATATGTCTTTCATCCATCTGAGACGCTGAGTAACTCAGATGAACGTTGTCTGCGGCAAAATATTATGCAGATAAAAATCAACAGATGTTACATCAACCAGTACCTTTTACAGGTGACTCCTCTGTGCTGTGACAAACAGCTCTACCAGCATAGTGGGTGGTGCTTGGGCTGCTAACCACAGGACCACAGTTTGAAACCACCAGCCTCTCCATGCAAGAAAGATGAGACCCTCCATAGTCTCCAGATCTCCAAAGGAGCTCTTCTGCCCTGTGCTGTATGGTCCCTGTGACTCAGAATCGATTGGATGCCAGTGAGATGTTATAACTTGAGTGTTCAGAATATTCTCATCAGTTAGAGCTTGGTCCTGTGGTAGTTACATAATCTGGTGTCAACGTGCAGAGGAGTGGAGTCTAGCCTGTCAATCAGGTTACAGCTTGATGACCTCATTTGGAGGGGCTACAGAGATAAATAGCTCCCTGGAGGTGGGACCCACAGACTCTCTGCTCGGTATTCCTGATGACAAGGCACCTGGAGCTATGCTGATGGAGCCAGAGCCCTGGAGCTAGAGGAGCCATGGGAGACCCCTTCCAGCACTGAGACGCTTCCACTGCCACTGGATCCATAAGACTTTCCACCCACTGGCCTGTGGTCTTTCTGCATTCAGTGTCATTGCATGTGTTTTGTTAGTCTGAAGAGGACTTTATAGATTGGTATCAGACATATGGGCTAATTTCAGACTCATGGACTTGATCTGGACTGGGCTGAGATGTTTTCTCAATATACAATTGCTCTTGTATATAAAGCTCTTTCTTTTTTAAAAAAAAAAAAAAAGCTCTTTCTTATACACCAAAAAAAAAAGACCACTAGCAGGTCAGAATTATCCACCTCAAACAAAAGGACCACCTTTTGCGGGGCGGGGCAGAATTGCCCCCACAGGGTTTCCCAAGCCGTAAGAAAACAGATCACCTCATCTCTCTCAGGAGAGTGGCTGGAAGGCTCGAACCACTGACCTTCCAGTGAGCAGCCCAGCCCAACCACTATGCCACAGGGCTCCTGGTACTGCCCACTTGAAGGTCCCCAGAACTGTCACCTGCTTTCCCTACAGCTTTTCTGCTTGTTGACTCTTCCCTAATACCCCATGGCCCCTTTTCAGGTAAGCCCTGAAGCGCTTCACTCTGCTCCCAGTCACAGGCTGCTTGGGTGGGGATGAGGGTGAGGGTGGCTTAGGGTTGTGTTAGTGTAAGGAGCAGGTCAACTCTATCCCCTGGGATCCCTATGAATCAGCATGGTTTCAACAGCCCAGAACAATACAGTGCTCAAAAATAATAATAATAGCTGTTGTTAAGAGATTGGGCTTTTCTTACATTTCCTAGAACCTGGACTTTGCCCATAAAAACTATGATTCTAAAGGCAAACTGCACGTGGGGTTCTGCTCTTGGTAAGAAAAGACTTGGCTTCCAATCTGATTCGATTTCCACAAAGCTGAGCCACCTAGAGTCTAGTCCCGGGGAATACAGAGCAGGCGGGTTCTTTGTGCCTTAAACTGGTGAACCTGCTGCACAGACCGCGGTCCAGTGTGGAAGAGCCAGGACGTGACTTCGAGGACCCCGGCCAGGGTGTCTCCAATCACCGCACATGCCTGTGAAAGCTGGACCGTGAATAAGGAAGACGGCAGGGTGGAGGCCATGAATGGCCGTGCTGGAGCAGATGCTGGAAGTACCCTGCATGGCCAAGAGGACACGCAGTCCGTCTGGGAAGTACGGCCAGAGTGCTCCTTAGCGGCAAGGATGGTAAGGCTTCATCTCACATGCCCTGGACATGTTGTCAAGAGAGACCAGTCCCTGGAGAAGGACATCCGCTTGGTAGAGTGGAGGGGCTGCAAAAGGAGGAAGACCCTCGAGCACATGGACTGACACCGTGGCTGCAACACTGGGCTCAGGCACAGATCATGAGATGCTCAGAGCTGGGCAGGGTTTCATTCTGTGAGTCTGAATCGACTTGCTGGCACCTAACAACAACAACACACACACACCACCACCATTTAGTGGTGCCACGGGGAGTTAAACAGTGTGGTGCTGAAGCAGGGTTGGCAGTTCTAACCCCTGGGCCACTGGGCCGGAGAAAGTTGAGGCCAGACGTCCCATAAAGATTTACAGCCTCTGACTTGCCACAGGGGCCAAGGTTTGCCCTCGGAGGGCTGTTACCTGGGCAACGACGTGCTGATCTGCAGCCGGGGCAGCGCGGGAATGACCTCGACCGTGGAGCCGCTGGTCTTCACGCCAGGGAGGCTGTCCAGCAGGCAGTCACTGCAGACGCCGAAGACCGTGGTGTGGTAGCCTGCACACAAAGGGAGGCCCTGCTCACGGCCAAGGCCCAGCACTGTGGGCCGCCGTGGCCGGAGGAGCGGGGACCGAGAGCAGATCCCAGCTGTGCCGGTCGCAGCTCCACCCTCCCTCTGGAGACCCTGATCGCATCCTGTGGCCCCACTCCACTGCACGAGTGGGGGGCTCTGTGTGAGCCACAGCCTCATCTGTAGGAGCTCGGCCCTTCTCCACCGGGCATCGCAGACACACCCAAGTCGGGGCAGCCCAGAATGAGCCAGCCCTGGGGAAAGACCTCTGAGACCCCTGCTGAGAGGGGCAGGTCTACAGCCAGGGGCTGCGGGTCTGTGCAGCCCTCCGTGGCAGGGCAGCTCCAGTCCACATGGACAAGCACTGTCACTGAAGGCACACATTTTCCCAGCGTTTCGAGGGGAGGGAAAAACAAAAAACAAGTCTGCCAGTCAAAGAAGCTCTTGCAGTTGTTTAAGCGAAGCTTTGAAATGGCTCTTGAGATTTCCTGAGACAATCATTAAAAGCACTGCTCGCGGTGCGGGCAAGTCAAAGCATGCCAGGGGCTGAGTGCCAAGGGGGGCAGTGCCAAGGCCTTTGGATCACAGGGCAGCCTGGGCACCAGAGAAGCAGCCATCCTGGGAGGCCACCCTACACCTCGTCTCACAGCACCCACTTATCCTTCAGTGTAAAGACTGTCTCTTCAAAGATGCCCTTGAGGGTGGTGCCTGGGTGTCAGCGCGGACCAGCCCATGGCCATATGCCACTTCCGACCAGGATTCCAGCCTCCCTGTCGTGCAGCCCCCACAAGAACTCACTGTCCATTTGATCCCAGAAAGATCTGCTTCTTTCTTTTTTTTTTTAATAAAGGGCTAACTGCTCCTAGCAGAAGGTGTGTTTTCCGACTGTGTGGCGTTCTGAGACAGTCAGGGGTGTTTTCAGTTTAAAGATGAACTCAGGGCAACACGTTCAG